ACGTTGAAGTGCTTTGTTAAAAAAATTGCATTACCTAATCAAAATTACCAAACAAAAAAAAAAAAAAAGCGAATCTCGATGTTTTGTTAAATAATTGATCTTGTTTGCTTTGTTGAGAAAATCCTTACTTTTCTTTATACAACAGTTTTTATCTTGAAACAATAATTATAATGGACCTACATGCTATTGGTAGATTTATACCTTTAACTCCCTGATGGAAAATCAATGTATAAATAAAAATTCAATCGTTACCAAGTGGCTTGAAATCTTGTATTACACCATTCGAATATCATGAGACCTCCCAATTTACCTATCAGAAATCTCATTAGTTGTCGTGTCAATATTCATTCAATCTGATGATGGTTCTAGAATTATTTAATCTATAATATTTGGCCTTTTTAAGGAAACTTAAACAAAAAAAAAAGGAATATACAAGGATAAAAAAATTGGTGAAAATGATGGATATATTTTAAGTTTAGGCCTATTATGGACGGCTGTTTAGTTTTGACACGTACGCCCTCTATAATCAATGATCCCATATCTCTTCTCCTAAAGATTAAAATAGATTAAGTTAACACTCGTAAAGCGGATCTTACCATGACAAAGTCGTAATCACGTTAATGAGGTGAGGTCGTTAAAATCAGTGTAACTATCGTTAAAGCAAATCATATAACGTAATTGAGTCAACGTGTTGAATTCGGTTTGTTTTTATTTTAAAGTAACAAACAATGCGTGCGTAAATTTATTTACGGTCACAATAAAAGTATCCGTAAATTCCCATAATTATCTTTTTTGCCGGAAAAAAACGCCAAACAAGGATCGGATTCTTTCTTGTGAAAGCGAATTAAAGTCCAAAAGTTTAACGCCAATGTAACCTATGTTCAGGAATTTCGCGTACATCATAAGCGGTCTCTAGAACTTGTCTGTATAACCGCGTAACATAAACCCTGTGCGATCGTTAGTCAAAAAAGGTTAATCAATGAAACGGTGGCTCAATATAATGATACAAGAAATTTTTGCTGATCCATGTTATTTTTTTTTTTTTTTGAAAAAGGTAATGATTAGGATTGAACCACGAACGATAAGTAAATTTCATTAAAGCAAAGCTGGACAGGATCGTTCTTTTGGTAACAAGGAAAAGCGTTAAAATTTTCTTTCATTTAATGACGGTTTGTATAACCTTAACATTTCTGATTATTCATGCATGCATAATCGAATGCATGCATGAATGATACCATGCATTCATCATATTTCCGATCTCATACAAATATATCTTTCAGTGATTAAAATTTTACACGTGATCATGCACACTAATTTTATAGATGGTTTGAAAGTCAAAGCGTCCCTCCTGTATTATAAAAATCTTTTTCAGAGAGGAGCAAAATTAAAAAAATCAACTTTAGCCTGTATGATGATTTAATAGATTGAAAGTAAGGGTTTAAAAAGATTATCAACAGGATATCCCTTGATCAAATGATGATCATTCCTGTTCACAATCTAATATTTATAATGAATTGTCCAATTACCTTGACTGCAGATCAAGATTCGAACAAGATCAAAGTTGTTTATTTGTGGCTCATAACGAGAATTGAAACAGATATGGTGCAATTTTTGTGTTTAATCTAATTTTAGATTAACGTGTTTACTAATTGTTTTATATAAAAGTCTTTCTAAAACCTTCCTTTGGATTAATTTTTTTTAAATACTAAAATTTCTGAGGTTTTTTTTTTATTCTTATTTGAGTTTAATGATGGCGGACATAACGAAAAACACACCTTATCTATTTACCAAAAGACGACCTCAATTCCAAGATAAAGCTAAAGATTTTTATCATAATATTCCAAAATATTCGATAAATTATGTAAAATCATTATTTCCAATCGCAACGTGGATAGGACGCTATAATTTGACGTGGTTATCAGGGGATATTATTGCCGGTTTTACGGCAGGTGCTGTAGTTATTCCACAAGGGATGGCTTATGCAAAGGTTGTCGGATTAAGTCCTGAATACGGATTATACTCATCATTTGTGGGAGTATCCCTCTACTTTTTATTTGCAACTTCCAAGGACATCACGATTGGTCCTACGGCCGTGATGTCATTACTTCTCGGTCAAGCAATCAATGCTATCCATAAATCCTCAGAGGCATTTACAACTGTAGAACTGGCTACTTCATTTGCTTTATTTTCGGGAATCTTTTCCCTTATCCTTGGTATACTACGACTTGGTATCATCGTTGATTTTATTCCCGGTCCTGTCATTGCTGGTTTCACCACCGGATCCGCTCTTACAATCGCAATAGGGCAAATAGCCAAACTATTAGGAATAAAGGACATTGATAGCAAAGAACCTGCATATCTTGTATTAGGCAAAACTCTCGGTGCCTTGGGAAGAACGAAAATCGATGCAGTAGTCGGAATTCTTAGTCTTGTTTATCTATATTCTATAAAATATGGTGTAAGAATTGCCGCGAAACGTTGGCCACGTTTTGAAAGGACATTTTTCTTTCTAGGAATCCTTAGAAACATTTCCGTAGTAATAATAGCAACATTAATCACTTACCTGATTAATATCGGCAAAACCACAAGTCCTTACGGCATTTTGAAAAAGGTTCCTTCCGGATTTTCACATATCGGGACCGCGCCTGTCAGTGTTGACATGCTTCAAACAATTGCACCTCATTTACCGATTATAATATTGATTCTTATTTTAGAACACGTTGCGCTAGCAAAAAGTTTTGGAAGAATTAACAATTATAAAAGTAAGTAAATTAATTACTTTGGGAAAGAGCTTCCCTTTTTTTTTAATTTGATTTTATTTGAATTTTTTTTTTTTTTTCCAGTTAATCCAAGCCAAGAACTGATTGCTATTGGAGCAACAAATGCCATTGGATCTTTCGTTGGTGCATATCCTGCAACAGGATCATTCTCTCGTACTGCCATTAAATCTAAATCTGGTGTACGTACTCCGCTCGCTGGCATCTTTTCCGGTTTGCTTGTGATCCTCGCCCTTTTTGTCTTGACGCCTGCTTTCTATTATATTCCAGATGCTAACCTTTGGTAAGTATTTGACGTGATCCTTTGAAACGGTATATAATAATAATAGTTTCAAAGTTGATTAAAGGAAAGGTTGATTGATTTTGTAGCGCGGTCATCATACACGCCGTACTTGATTTATTATCCGGTCCTTCTTATATTAAACAACTCTGGAGAATTGAATGTAAATATTTTCATCCTTTATTCGCTTTTTTTGCGCGTCTCTCTGAAATTATATTAATAAATCCTTTCCTTTGATTATCATAGTTTGGGACTTTGCGGTCTTTGTAGTTGGCGTCGTATTTACATTTTTCTTCACCGTTGATGTGAGTACCCTTTTAAATTACAAGCGTTTTTTTTATGAGCCTCTTTGGAATGATTCTAAATAACCCCTCCTTTTTTTTTTTTTTTTTTTTGTAATGTTGATATGATAGATTGGTATCTTTGCTTCAACCGGACTTGCACTTTTAGTTCTCTTGATCAGGTTGGCGCGACCGAGATTCGACGCATTGGGACGTTTACCTTTGGAATCAAAAAACAATGTTCCAAGATATGCGTACGTTCCAATCGGTCATCCATCATTCAAATCCGTAAACAATCCACCTGATGGTGTTCTAGTCTTCAGATTTGATGAATCACTCACATATCCAAACGCGAGTTACGTTGATGATCAAATCGTTGATTATGCTCGTAAAAACACGAAAAGTTTTTTTATACAAGAAAAAAAGAAAGGTGACAGACCATGGAATGAATTGGAGATATCAAATGATTCTGATGATTCAAATAAAGTACAAAAACCTAGATTACACGCGGTAGTATTTGATTTCGCGGCTGTCAGTGTCATTGATACAACGGGTATACAAGCTCTATTAGATACGAGAAAGGAATTAAACAAATACGCTGGTCAACCAGTTGAATTTCATTTCGCAAATATACTTGGTGAAGATATTGAAGAATCCTTGATTGCCGGTGGTTTTGATAGTTTAGATAGTAATTCAAATATTAGTATAAATAGTGCTATTGATAGTGGGGATACGATTACCGCCATTGAAAAAGTACCTGATGAAGAAATTGGTGTTAGGGAAAAGGAAACCAATCATAAGGTTCAAAAAACAAAAAGATTCTTTCATTTAACTCTTGATGAAGCTATTGAGGCTGCTGCTGGAAATTGATACTTTATGAATTAATGTAAATTTTTTGGGGGGAATTTGAGAATTCAAAAGGTTTATATTGTTTCGAAAGGAGGCTAAAGAAAAAAAAATTTTTGTATTTTTTTTTATTACATGTAAATTATTATTTCATTTTTAAATTTTTGTATAAAAAAAAAAAAATTGTATTAAAAGCATAATTTTTATATTAAATAAATTATTTATAGTAAATTCATTGAACAAAAAAAAAAAAAAAAGCCTAAAAAGGGTCCTATAACACACGTGCCATGAAAATATTAACAATAAAACATGATCTAAATTGGTAAATTGATGGAAATAAATTAAAACGTGTTTAAATCAACGTTAAAAAAACACGTGAGCATTGCAAAGTTCATACCTACTATGTTGCTATTTATTTTACTGATCGTTATTTTTAATAATCATAAGTATTTTATATTATCAGATTATTAATGACAAATAATATTGAATCATCATCGTTATGTCATTGTCAATGATTTAATATTCTGTCTTGTTTTCGCAAGTTTGAGTAAAATAATGTCAACGATAAAGTACCGAGGAGAACAAGTACTTGGAAATCAAGAAAAGATAAATGAAAAAAAAAAGATCCAGAAATGTCCAGACCACGAACTCATCAAGGACATCAGGTCAGGTCTCAACTGGAAACGCAAGGATTTTATATACATTTTGAAATGATCGTACTAAGGAGATATCGAGGAGGTTGTGGCTACCCACAAAGACCGGCTCTGCCGCTTCGCTTTTGAACTTGTCGAAGGAACTTAGTTAAGCACGATACCAATGTCATTGGTACTCAGTTCGGACATTAACGTTGAAGACACCGAATCCGGTGGGCTTGCCGAGGACTTATTATTAATCGTTACTATCTTCACATCAATACACAATGGATTCAGATCAGCCAAGAATCGAACACGAAAGATACGGATTTATCCAACGCCTGAAGAAAGAGAAAAGCTAAGAAAGAGGATGGGAACCGTGAGGTGGACATACAATATAGTACTTGAGATGGTGCAGGATGACGGGATCACTGACATGAGCGTTATACGAAAGCGTTACCTGAACAATAAATGCTTCACTGAAGAATTTTTATGGGTAAAAGAGACTCCTAGGGAGGTACGTTCGTACGCGATCAGACAATTGATGAGACAAGAAGTTGCATGGAAATAATTCTAATGAACCATCTCGATTCTTACCAGGGATTGGAATAGGAACAGAGGAGAATACGCGTTCCTAAAGAGTATCATCACCTCAGAACGACCACCAGAGATCAATAACACGGGTTAACATAACTATGAATCACCTGGGACATTTTACTTGTGTGTTTCCGTTCCTTTTGACATTATCGATAACCAAGATGATGTTCGTTGAAAGGTAGATTTAGGTTTTCGCACCTTTATGACAGGTTTCGTTCCCGATGGTCAATTAATTGAGTGGGGCAACGGTGATATTGGCAAAGTATTCAAATTGCCCCAAAAATACAGAGCGACAAGGATCTTTGGGAAGAACATATAAGAGAAAGAGATTTCGATTGGGAAAAAAGATGCTACGAATCATACAACTGAATCCGTAATTTGATAGATGAGTGCC